ACATCGCATACGACGTCATAACATTTTTTTATTTGTCGTCGACGTTGTTTTATTGATGTGTAATATGACAATATAGCAATAATAATAAAATATGTAACTCGTCAAGTAATCGTCAACGTTATACGAATATTCTGAGTATAGCCTAAATAATAATAGTATGACATTGTGTAATATTTAACAATAATATAATATAATGGTGGTAGCGCGCGCGTGTTTTTTGCTTGTATGTGGATCACTTCGATTTCCCACGGTGATGTAACGACGATAATAATTCGGTTTTCTACTACGCTCAATTTTTTAATAACATTATATACAACAGTTATTATACCATGATAATTGATGATATTAATTATTACATTGTTATAATATTCCATTCCACTGCCGCGCCGGAGATGATGTAGTATACGTTTATTCAATATAAACGCGGCATTAAACTATAATCTAATAAAATTGTGCAAACACATTATATAACGAGCTTAAAATGTATTCTCGTTTGGTATTTTGTATTAAACTCGCGTGATTGTGTATACACCAGTCATTCGCATTTATGTTTCGATGATATTGAATCGAGTGTGTATGTTAGTGTGTGTTAAGTGCATCTTATGAGAAAAATTCGACGCAAATGTGGCAATAAGAGATTATAACTCTTGTAAGTGCAAAACAGAAACCGATTAAAAACATAAAACAGAGATAGTAATATACTGTTATTCATAATTAGTGTTATACTTAGTAGTATAGAATTTAAAAGTAATATACTATTCTATTCTATGCAGTAACTGCTGTAACTTATACAACACCGGTTGTAAATAGTAAATACTATACCAATAATTCACACACGAGATGTCTAACTTTTAAACTAATTAAAACGAATGATTTTGTTATACATTTCATATGTATTGGTTTTTTCCTGGCTTTTCATCTGAAGTCAAAGGGKACAAGCGTTTTTAATATCAATACATCATATACTAAATATTAAAAGGTTATGAAACGCTGTTGAGTTATAAATTATAGCGCTTTAACCCATCGCGCATCGTTATATTTATCTGAGTCTAAACTTTAAACTACATATACTTAGGTATAATAGTCTTAATTTATGTGTCAATGTACTACTGTGGATGTAGCCAGAAAATACAAACAGATTAACACGACTTTTAGCTTATAAGGTAGATCTATGTTTTTTAACATATTATTCACAAACACAAAACCGTCAAAACCCATTATTTAATGTAAAAAATAAAATAACTAATGGCCTTTGTTGCCGAAGTTGTAAATTATCAATAAAAAAAAAAAAAACCCATTATTATTTACTAATGAACCGATGAAATAGTGGACAATTGTTTTAAGTTTAAATATAATATGTGTGATCAAAAAACCAATTCTTAATGGTGACTTAAGTGTGCTGAATTTATAGATAATTGTACAAATAAATTTCAATTGCTTCTATATGATAACCAAAGTTAAGTCATTTAAAAATAACAGTATTAATTGTAGTTAAGAAATTAAAATTAAATTTTATTTTGATAAACAAATACTCAAATTMATTTTATGTAATGGCTTTCATAACTGAATAAGTACCTGTGATGGCATTTTAGTTTTAAAAATGTCATTGGAGTTCTTAATAATTGAAGTACCTAATTTAATGCTTATGAATTAAGAAACGATAGGATTTTACATGAATATTTAATTACAGTTATCGATCAGTTTAGTAGTTTCTACAAAACATAAGGTAATAATCTGGTTTTTTCATTCAAACGAAACAATTTATGTATGCTCTAAAAGATTAATTTTTCTAATTGCAATAGAATAACTAATAACCTTATAAAACTGATGATAATATGTATATTGTATAAACATAACAACCCTCGTATAGAGTAAATAATGAAATAATTTTTGTGATGGTATAAACTAATACAGGCCCTTGAATTTTCAAATATTTGCCTAAAAAAACACGCAAAAATACCATCAAATTTATATTTATTGTAATTTTCAAGGTACAACATCATTATATTTATCATTTGTGCGTGACATTTAGCAGATAATTAGAAAATGTTAACATGCAAGGAAACATTTCGTCTAATAAAAAATGTAGCAATTAACATAGAATTTTTAGAATTTAAAAAAAAAGCAATATTAAAAATGTGTACATTTTTCAATCCACAAAACATTTATATTGTACGATATTGTTGGATAAAATGTCATGAGAAATCAGATAAAACGCATTTTTCTGATTGCGAATGATCTACAACACAATTAAGCAAGTAATTAAACATATACTGCTATATAAATTAGCATAATATGCATACGCAATCCGAAAAAAAATGTATTTTGAAAAATATACCACCAAAGCTAACTTTCTTTTGCACTCATATTACGCTTAACGTGGGCGAATAGGTGGMAATTGGATTGCCGAAGGCGCTAATTATTTAACATAATTTCAATAATCTAGGTCATATAAAGTATCACGTGTCCATGCAAGAGAATTAATAAACTTAAACGTGTTGCACGGATTTATACAGTTAAGTCGAACACTTAACGTTGAAGTAAAATTGTTTTTATTTTCTGTCACGGATGACTCTTCCAACGTTTGTATATAACATCAAAGGTGGGTATTACCCAGTAAACATTTTTGAACTTAACAAGTTGGTTAATGAATAACTTATTCAAGTTACTCCTTGWTTTAATAATTTAGTCGAAACAACAAACGTGTAATAATTGCCGAAACCACCATAATAGCAAGTTTGCAATAACAATGATTATTACTGCTGTATAGGATGCGATTTCAATAAAATATAAGTTATAACTTAAAAACAAAAAATATGAAAGCTGCACGATCACTAAGTGTAACTCATGTGATAATTAAAATAATTTAAGCTGATACYTCTCTCCATATTCACTTTAAATTTAAAGAGTTAAATGCATTATTACTAAACTCTTAACTGATAATTTAACGTTCTGTACATTGACTACTTTAACTACATTAACTAACTCGAGTTAAATGTTTTTTTATTAATTTGCCCACCTTGACTTATCAATACAACGCACTCGGTTCAGGAGGTCAACGACGATTCCGAAAACTTCTAATCGGTTTTGCATAAATTAATAGCCTTTGATAACTTTTTAGCATGTACTTTAGTTCTATTAAAAATATGAATGCATTTAAGCGAATTTGCGACAGAATTGCAATTACGAATAATTATTTTACAGTTGAATTTAGAAGTTATATTTAAGATTTTATTAGCCAGTGCTCATAYGTATTTAAAAATTAAACAAAATAAAAAAAACTAAATACAACCCTGGTTTAATTAGGTAGTTATCAAATTTAATTTAATAATCGTTTGGTTTCTTTTACTCAACACGGAATTATAGTTTAGGTACCTAAAGGTTATAGGTATACATATAGATCACAATTAATTACATAATATAGCTTTAAATATGATTAATTAGTAATTTTGAAACAATTTTAGAAAATTATGGGTATAATCAATAATATGTGTAAAGTGTAACGCCTAATTGTTAAATTAAAATCTAAAAAATTAAAAACAAAAACAAATTTAATTGACACCATAAATTGAAAACGAGCTAATCATTACAWTGCGACAAATTCCAAGATGTAAACTAGTAGCATGATGACCTTGTTTACTGATAAAAGATAAATCAACTCGACAACTATTTGAAGTAATACATAGTATAAATGAGAATTTCCAAATACGATATTGCAACAGATAATGATTTTTTTCTAATCAATCTCTGTCGCAATTTGCAACACTTGCAAGAACTGACCACAAATGTAAATTTAAACAAAGGGTTATTTTAAGGGTTTCCTAATAATAACTCTAAAACTTTATCAGAGTAATTACTAATTAACACTATTTATGTGAGGCCATGAGGGTGGGATGATGATTAATGGACAAGTATAATAAAACTATAGGTACTACCTATACATATATAAAATTAGTAATTATAAATTAAAAACTCKTATATATTTTATTAACAAATCCGATTTTAAATCAATACAATTTATAATTTGCAGATAACAATGCTGAAATGTATATTTGCATATTTGAATATTTCTCAATAAATTAATATGAGTTAGTAGGTAATTAACTATTTTTTATTAAATTAATATAATTTAGATARAATGTATGTTGTAATTTTATTTTAAAAACACTTTTGTGATTTTACTAACACTAAGTTTACGAGAAACTATCAAAAATTACATATACCCTAAATAAGTGAAATAATTAATGAAGAAATGAGTGGATGAAATAAAATTGAGAAACAGTCAGTTTTAATCAAAATATAAAAATAGATCTGTCATCGTCAAATTGTATCATGTTACATCGTAAGAAGTGTTAAAAACATTGGAGTAATAGTACACAAAAAATATGCAACGTCACTTTTCATCACAATGGTTCAAAATAAAGTAATATCAAGACTTCACTGAATAATGAGAATGATTAAAGTGTACAATATTATATTTTTATTTTACTTTAATTTAATTTTAACTAGTCAACACATAATATTCATGACATAATAATTATTTTTAAAGAAGATACATACTTAGTGATAAGGAATAATAATACAAAAATATGAATCTGTTAATTTTTAAAAACCAAACTATTATTATAAAATTAAAACAAAATTTTTTATTGTCAATATTAATGTTGATTAC